TTTAGGGTTTGGGGTTTAAGGTTTGGCTTAGCTTGCTCTCAGGCTTGGTGCTTGCATAGATAATGAGTTTGTTGCATGTTATAGAGACGTCAATGTCGTTGCCTCTCGGCGTGTGGCGCGAACTTCGGAAATTGCAGCCATGTTTAAGTTTGCCCAGACCTAAAACCAAAGCCCTATAAGCCTTAAAAGCCGAAGAGCCCTAAGAAATCCTAAACCCCTAAACCGCTAAGCCCGCATCCCCAAGTCCGAACCACTTAGGACCGTCTTGGAGGCGCGCGCGGAGCGTGCGGCAGGGCAATGAAGCCCTTCTGGTATGCCTGAGTCTCCGAGTGTGGGTTTTAGGGTTTTGGGGTTTGGGGGTTTAGGGGGTTTAGGGTTTAGGGGTTCAGGGTTTGGGATTTAAGGGTTTAAACCCTAGGAAAACCCTACACCCCCAAACCTCGCATTCGAGGTTTAGTTGTAGACCACGGCTTTTAAGCTTTCGGGTCAGCGGGTGGGGAGAGACTGCGTGGACGGGCTTCCTTCTCCAGCGAGGATCTTTAACCATGAACCAAGAATACTAACGCAGAGCCAGCTAGACCGTAAATGCCCCGACCCAAAGCTTGGGAATACTATTCTCGGATCCATTTGCGAACAAGTGGAACCCGGGGTTTGATAATCAGGCTCCGACATGAAGCCCGGCACCCGACATCCCAATAACCCCCTCAAAGCCTGGGCCCCTCAATCCTGCAGATCGCAAACCCGAAACTGTAAAACTCTGAACCCTGCAACCATACTGCTGCCTTCAGAGCAATAAAGACCTGCTTTGGCTACGAAAACAGAAAAGACAATCGTAACATGTACGTTCCTTGAGCGGTAGGTGAACGGTAGCAGCCAAGCCCGAAACCCCAAACCCTAAACCCCCAAACCCGAAACCCTAAACCCCCGAACCCTAAACCCCCAAACCCTAAAACCCCAGACCCTAAACCCCTCAACCACCAAACCCCAAACCCCAAACCCCTAAACCCCAAACCGCTCAACCCCGAAACCCTAAGCCCCAAACCCGAAACCCCTAAACCCTAAACCCCTACACCCGAAACCCTAAACCCCAAACCCCTTCTAGCCGCTCCTGATGCTCTTGCGCCCTGCTTCCAACTCAGCTCAGCGGATGTCCACGGGCATTCTTGCTGGAACGGCTCGAGGGCCGTCGGCTCCTTCGAACACCAAAACACCAGGAACTTCAACCTAGTCCGCGCCGCAAAATACTTTCCAAGGTGGCGCCTCGTCCTGGCACGGTAGTTATGATTCGAACAGCACAAAAATGCGACAAGCAGCGACGTTCCCTGCAAATAATGCACTTAGACTCATACTGCACTAGAGAAGGGTGAAGGCTTGGATATAAGGTCGGGGGTCAAATATGCGTGAGTCGGATCAATCCTCCCTTCTTCGCGTCCGTCGTGCCATCTTGCAGGCGAGTCGGTGCATCTGCATATGGCTTAGTTAAGCGGACGCGCGTCCGGCACCACACAGATATACCGGCAGACTTCTTCGCTTTGTCTCCAAGGGACATGGCACGAAGGAGTTGCCGAGAAAAAGAACTACTTCTGTCCCTAGACTCCGCATGCACACAACTCTCATCCGGTCCACGCGTCCGCTTCTTTTGTTCTGCCCTCAATCCCGACTCAGTGCCTCAGGCAGCGGCATCGGCCTCCACATACCGAGCCAGCAAAAATACTCGTGGGTCCAGCTTGCACGTTATTTTGCGCCGCTTGGCCACAACCTCCCTGCACAAAATCTCCTTCAAATCGTGGTCGGTCCACAGCATGGTGGTGCCCTGCAGGATGCGCCCCTGAATGCCGATCAGCCGCACGCAGTCCATGATGTCCAGGTACCCCCTCTCGATGGCCAGGTTCTTGAACCTCCGACCCAACCTGGACATTGTCAGCCCCAGGGTCTTGGGGTGTTGTATAACAGTATAACACCGACAAGATTACCACCGAAGGACGTGCCCTTGAAATGGAGTGCTCTCGAGCCGTGAGGAAAAAAGTATGAACCTGTCGGGCACATTTTAAGCAAAACGCCGTGTATAACATTCTTTCATCTCCATAACACTAGTGCGGACGCTGAGCTCCACACCTTGTAGCTCTGCACCGGCAGGTTGTCCAAGAACTCGCCAGCGACCTTACCGCATCTCCGCAACCAGCTAGCCGGTCACAGAGTTAACCCTCGCACCTCCACCATGGAAGGTAAACGAGGTTTCCAGGAAGCGGCCGCAGGGAGGACACACGGTAAGGATTTTTGCTTCCCGTCCACGGCAATGTTGAAGACGACATAGACCTTAGATTCCGAAAAGAGGGGGAAAGGGTTGTGGTTGAGGTAGCCACGCGCCGGGAAACAGAGCGTGGCCAGGACCGAGTGCTAGACCATCCCGTGCTGGACATGGTCCGGACCTGAGTCAAGACTGCATGGCTCAGGGTGCAGCGCAGTCGGCCGCGACACATCCAGCTGCTTTGCGGCAAACTCACAGAAGCGTTCCCTTTTTGTCTGGCTGTCAACAGCCCGTGCATTAGCTGCGTTCGTGCATTAGGCCGGACAGAGGTAATACTACACCTCCATCGGCTTCCCAGCTTTCTCCCATTCAGCCGCTGAGTCGCAACTCACTTTGGCCCCCTCCAGCATGCTGAAGATCTCCACGCCGAGGTTGGGCCCTTCAGTCCGCCGAATGTGTTCTCGGAACANNTTGCCAGCCGCGATAGGCACGCACCTGAGGGGAATAGGCAGAACACCTGGATGACGCACTTATGCACTCGGCGCCTTTACTAGCCCGACCCAGAAATGCGGAGACATCCCCTGGAAATGATGCACTATAGGTTCACACAGGTAGATAACGTTCAGAGTCAAGCATGTGTAAACGACTAGACCATACACTTATGCACTCGGCACATTTATGCGGCCGCCCCGCCACCTCCCCCCGCAACCCGTTGCGAGTCCACATGAAAAAACACATCTTCCAACAGGAGGACGCGAAATGCAGGGACCTTGCTTGAAAATATTGCACGAAGACTCATGCTGCAGTAATTAGACAAAGTGCTAAAAGGTTTGGACCGCACCTCTGCGCACAGCGCATAGATACGCCCCGCACCCCCCCCCCTCCCCCGCAACGGATGGCGAATCCACATAGAACGCGAAAACAGGGACCTTCCCTGCAAACAATGCATTAAGACTCATACTGCAGTACATAATGCTACAGTTCGGGTAAGGTTCAGAATCAAGTATGCGTGAACATCTACTTATGCACGCGGTGCATAGACGCGCCCCGCCCTCCCCCCCTGCAGCAGCCGGTTGCGAATCCGCATGCAAAAATCAATTTTCCAACAGAAGGACACGAAACGCAGACACCTTGCACGCGGCGCATAGATGC